GAAATCAGAAGAAGATTACGAATGGGGAGGGTGGCTATGAAAGAACTAAAAAATATACTAAAATGCAAAGACATACAACTGAGCACAAAAGTCAGGATCATACAAGCCATTGTATTCCCTATTACCATGTACGGATGTGAGAGCTGGACAGTTAAGAAAGATGAGAGGAAGAAAATCAACTCCTTTGAGAGAATGTGGTGCTGGAGAAGAGTGCTGAGGATCCCATGGAGAGCCAAAAGGACAAACAAGTGGGTCCTAGAACAGATCAAGCCGGAAACCTCCCTGGAAGCCAAGATGACCAAACTGAGACTGTTGTACTTTGGACACATCATGAGAAGAGAGGACTCTTTGGAAAAAACAATAATGCTGGGGAAAGTGGAGGGAAGTAGGAAGAGAGGAAAGCCACATGCCAGATGCATGGACTCTATTAAGAAGGTCACGGGTTTGGGTTTGCAGGATTTAAGCAGAACAGTGGAGAACAGTCTTGGAGAAGTCTCATCCATAGAGTTGTCATCGGTCGAGATCGACTCGAGGGCAGTTAACAACAACAAAGTTTAGTAGATGGAGGGAATACTGCAAATGTAATTTATCTGGATTTCCAAAAAGTATTTAATAAAGTCCCCCATGATATTTTGATAACCAACGTGATTAAATGTGTAATCAATGGGAACACTGTCAGATGGATTCATAATTAGTTGGAAAACTGTGTTCAAATAGCCATCATCAATGGCTGTATTTCAAACTGGAGGGAAGTCTTGAGTTGAGTACATCAGGGTTGTGTCCTAGAGCAAACACTATTCAATATTTTTATAAATGATAACAATAGCAATAGCAATGGCATTTATATTTCTATACCGCTTATCAGTGAACTCAGCACTCTCTAAGTGGTTTACTCATCTTACCGACCTACTAAAGGATGGAAGGCTGAGTCATCCTTGGAGTCTTGGGATCAAATTCACCAGGCTTGCATCTGCAATGCCAAAATAGTCTGGTTTGACAGCACTTTAACTGCCATGGCTCAATGCAATGGGATTCTGGAAATGGTCATTTGTTGTGGCACCAGAGCAGAAATGTGAAATGTTGGAGAGCATAATGTTACTTCTACTCTGGCTGTGGCTCAGCATCCTCCATTGCACCTAAAAGCAACACAGGCTAGTTGAAGGAGAGCAACACAACCTGTGTGGTACAAACATTTGTTGCCTGAGGAAGCAGCCTCACTTTGCCTAATAGTACTCTGCCTCCTTGACTGGAGATTAGACTTCTACACGCAGAGCATACACTCTTACACTTATCTGTAGTCCTTCTGTAGTAGATAATCCTGTGTACTTGATGAAATTGATTGATATTTTATTTAATGATATTTTATTTACTTTCAGCTAAATAAGCTCAACAGGAATGAAGGCTGCAACAGAAAGCCTTAATATTTCAATTCTCCATTGTAGCCATAAAGTTTCTTCCTTTGCGGTCTGTTCTGACCCTGTCGAGTGAAGCCAAAAAGCCATACTCTGGGCCTTTGCAGACTGCCAGAAATAGTGCAAATTGAGTCCACTTTGAGGGTTAGGGTTAGGGAATCATGGGAACTTTATTTTATTGTGGCACCAGAGCTCTCTGACAGAGAAGGCTCAATGTCTCAGGAAAAAAAAATTCCCATGACTCCCTAGCACTAACCCTAACCCTTAAAGTGGACTCAATTTGCACTATTTCTGGCAGTCTGCAAAGGCATTTCACAGATGAAAACCAGGATGTGTGGCCAAGCAACACAAGACTATGGTCAAGACGGCAAGCGTTATAAATTAGGAAGAAGACACATGTCTTGGAGACGATGCAGTAGTTTGCTTTTGCTGGAGTCTACTGGGAAGGACAAGATTCCCACCTCTTTTCCTTCCCCTCCACTGAGTCCACACTGCGTGCAAACTACTTTTGTATTTTGAATTCAGTTTGCAGCAACAAGGATGTTTTTAAAGGGGTGCGGCAGGTGCAGATTGCACCAGGTGACAGCTCAGAGAGAGGTGTCACCTGGTGCACATGCGTCAGGCCCAGTTTGACAAATCTCACAATGGGAACCTGGTTCTGTGCACATTACATCTACCCAGTACATCTGCACAACCAGGATCCACAATTTTCCTTTTCCCTTTTTCATCAAGGAGGATGACTGAGAAAAAGTGTGCCTGGATCTGGCTCTACACTGGGAGAGAATGGCCAGATTCCTAGACCACCTTTCGTGGGACAACTGTCAGACCAGGGAGAGTTCGATGAAAGAACATTGATGGAGCCCACCTGGAAGGTCCAGCTCAGGAGAGGCTGAAATGGGACTTCGGCTGCCGCTACCTTGAGGGGGAGGAAAGCCAACCAAGCCTTTCGGAAACTCAGCAAAATGGCCGAAAGAGATAACAAGCCTCAAAGGGAGGTTTTGAAGGAGAAGTCATGGACCTGTCTGTTATGTTTTCTTTACTGCAGTAAAAGCTGTCCCTTTGACTGTAAGCCTTGGGACCTTATCACACGCGGGCCACAAAGGGATAAGAAACTCAAATAAGAATAAATCCAGTACTATACCGAAATGAACCGAAAGAGCCCC